TGTAAATAGAAATGCAACGTTGATAGTATATATATCCATTCTGTGCTCTTATCGACAATAATCGACCAGGTTATTGTCTCCTGTACTGCTTTTGGCCTCCTATACTGTGAAGCTGTCAAGCATGCATGGTACTGTTCGCCACATCTTTATGCAGCCTACACTTCTCCTTGCTAGAAGAACGCACTCATACTACTCAGCTGCCGATACACATCACCGCCCAGCCTCAGTCGGAGTCCACTAGCAAACTGCACCAATCCCATTGCCATCGTCCGATATCCAGCCAGCATCTGTGCCCTACCTTGATCGCCGTACGGACTAGTCTTCAGATGCTGCGAAAGCTGATGCAGACATTTCATGGCCGTGACGACGATATCGTCCAGCGACGCGATGGTAGGTTGGTCAAGCAACTGCTTGAATCGTGCAGTGTATACCGAGGTAGGTGGAGCGGTTGGAGATGGGTCAAGAGGGAGCAGATTGGTCGAGCGCAGGGTATCAAGGGCGAGGTCTGGTCGGCCTTCTGCAAATTGCGCAAGGGCGAGCTTAAGCTGCAGCAGGACCTCGAGAGTCGTCCACTGCTCGACAGAGACTTTCGATCGACGAGCCAGATCTCTCTCGTAGACCTCGTGGACGCGCTTGGCAAGGCTGTAGACGTCGTTTGCGCCTCCAAAAGCGCCAGACAGGCCTACAGCTCCGGCTTCGGACTTTAAAGGCTGTGCGTCGGAGCCCAATGTCTGACCCAAAGCTCGATTCGCAGACTCGACAACCTTGTTGTACGAGCCTGCCAGATGGTACAACTCGATCGAGTCAATGAGAGACGAGTCAAGGGACGACTGGTCAGCGGCGGACAGGACGATTCGATGCAGGTAATCGGCAGTGTTTGACAATCGCAGCAGGCCAAGGTCTCGCTCGATGACTCCAGTCTGTCGTCAGCCGAGTCCAACGCGGATGCTAACCTCTTTTGATCCGTCTGCTCGGACACTGCCCAACAGCTTTGACCAGCTCTTGGATGCAAGCACGATATCCCGGACCATATCCACTGCCATGTCCCGCTGTTTGACACCGTCGATCGGCGAATCGTATCCCAGAGCGACGAGATACGCATACTGCAGAGCGATTGTCGGCTCGGCCTTGTAGAACGGCTGGATATACGTGCGAACCATGCGCGCAAAGTTCAGAACCGGTCTTTCCGATTCGGTCACTGTCATATCAGCGCAGATCAAAAGCATGGACGTACATAGGTCTGCATCGGGGATGGATGATGTACGCAAAAGACCATAATAGGCGAGCGCAATGGCAAAGTGTACCGCATCTGTCCGCAACTGAGGCTTCGAGTACAGGTACGAGATGGCCTGCAGGAATCAGCACATGATTCCAAGTAGCTGCCTATTGTCAAACGCACCCGCTCATACTGCCCGCTGAACACGAGAACGTTGAACCAGACGAGCGGCCGCTGCCCGCCTTGATCGAATCGCTCCGAGCCATACTTGACTACCAGTCTTGCAAAGTCGTCAAAGGTGTATACATCCTGAGGCGCATCGTCTCTCGAGTCGCGTACGAGCATGAGCTGCAGCCAGATCCAGTCCTCTGTAGTCTGCGCAACCTTGGCAGTCTTCCGGTTCAGCTCGAGGCGGCCCACGATCTTGTACAAAGCGAGCTTATATTGGTCCACGGTCGGATTATTGCGCACGGTCGCGTTAAAGTCGTTAAGCAGTGTGTCGCGTTGAGAGCGGGGTATTGACGCACGGGCACGGAAGGCTCCTGGTAAAGACCAGTCCTCACGTCGGAGCGAGCTCTGATGATCTGCAAGTATCGAAGCAGCTTCGTCGGGATATCCACAGCGCAGCAGGTAGTAGGCGATGGCAAATACGTACGTGCCGTCGACAGACTATCACATGAGCTAGCTGTTGGACGACGCGCAAAAATTAGCTCACCTCTGGGTTGTATGTCTCTTGAGCTTCCTTGGATCGCAGCACGACCGAGACGTAGGCACGAATCTTTTTCTTGATTCCAGGAACTCCACCGAGTGCAGCCTCTTTTGGGTATTTTGCAATCATCTCATCGACATGATTCTCAAAGCTACACGTCAGCATGTATTATGGACCGTGTTCTCACTCTCGCTCAAGAAATCTTCGCCCGCCTATGACGAGTCGACCGCGCAGCAGCGCAGCTCGGCTGGACCGCGCGTCTCCCAAGTACGCCTCTGCGTACTGCCTCTCCTGTACTGGTTCTGCAGACTGCGAAGGGCCTGCAGCTGGCGCATCTAGGGCATCCCGGACCGAGGGCTCTTGAGCCACGAATGCGAGTATGCGATATGAAGATGGCAGAGCTGGGAACTTTTGGTCGCCTTTTGTGGATTCTGCCAATGCTTGACAGAGCTCGAAAGGCTCTTTGTGAGATCGGGATTGGTTGAGTTGCTAGTCCGTCAGCTGAATCATAGCGAATCACATACCCTGACAGCCTGCTCGTAACGCATCATCTTGCTATGCATGGCCATTCCGCCCTCTTTTGCGTCGGTAGACTTGAACGTCGACGATGCGAGTGGAAACTAGCGTCAGAATCTGCTGGATCACACAACTCACTCGTCTGGTACTTGCACCTAACGAACTCTTGCCGAGCACAGAGTCGCCGAGGAAGGTCGACAGTTTAGAGAGATCGTTGCCGCGGTTGACTTCCTCCTCTGTCACTCCAAGCTCCTCTTGCAGTACCCGTTTCTTCTCGTTCTCCCAATTCTGCAGCATCCGCGCTTGAAACTGCTTTTCGAAGCTTTTTACAGTCTACTTCGTCAGCTGGATGATGGGTAAAGATCAATGAAGCTGACCTTTTGTCGCTGTAATTCTATACCACTGAGGATGATGGTCTCGTGCCAGTTTCTACCCCAGACAGACATGTCCTCTTGACCAGCGGTCGACGGACCTGCACCGTACTGTTCGACGGCGTGGCGTCGCCTGCGGCGAGGTGTCGAAGAAGGAACGGCATGAGCGAGCTGTGAGGTGTTGACGCCGAGATTCGATAGAAGGTTGAAGCTTTCTGTCAGCACGCTCATGGCCCCACTCACCCTTCTCCGTCTCGTCCTCTTCTCTTGCCCTTTCCAGCGACGCTCTCGCTCATACGCTCAATCTCCTCGATCCCGTATCGGAGTTGAGGCAGCTCGGTGTCTTGATCGACATGGTTGAGCGAGTTTGCCTGAGCAAGAAGGGAGGTTAGGGTGGAGGAGGTTGGCGGCTTGGCAGCTCCGACTCCATTAGGCCGCGACATTCTCCAGCGTCGTATGAATGCGATTCTCCGATAAATAATACACTTTGAACAACGAAAGAGAAATCAGAGAAATACAAAGTCAAAACGCGCCTCTCGTTGCCACAGGACGCTCCTCCTCAATATTGCCGACGTTATCGCCGGCGCCCTGAGCCGGTTGGTGCCACCGGTGGGTCCGACGACGTGAGCTCACTGACACCTTCTCACTATCATCTCTACTTTCCTGCGTTGCTTCTTCATCTCGACAGTCTCTACCACCATGGCCGGCCCACACTACGATTTGTGAGTATCCTGCTCTTTCGTGTATTCTCCGGTGGATAAGCCGCTGCGGCACTACGACTGCGACGCGTCTGGCGCTGATTATGAATAGCTTGATCAAGCTCCTTCTCATTGGCGACTCTGGTCAGTCAGCTGATCGGTTTGTCGCCAAGAAGCTGACCATGTGTAGGTGTCGGCAAATCGTGTCTTCTTCTACGATTCTGCGACGACTCCTGGACACCTTCATTTATTACCACCATCGGAATTGATTTGTGAGTCCGTCGTCTGTATTCTAGTCTCCTGCTGACAAGACGATAGCAAGATCCGGACAATTGAACTCGATGGAAAGAGGATCAAGCTCCAGATTGTAGGTCCTGTGCCTCAGTCTCAAATCAGCCGCCCAGGAATCCTTGTTCGTCGCGCAATGCTGACAACCACAGTGGGACACGGCCGGCCAAGAACGCTTCCGGACAATCACTACGGCCTACTACCGCGGCGCCATGGGTATCCTCCTAGTATACGACGTGACGGACGAAAAGTCATTCAACAGTGAGTCACCCCTGCTTTCCGTGCTGATGGCAGACATCCGAACTTGGCACTCGAACATTGAGCAACATGCATCCGCCGGTGTCAACAAAATCCTCATTGGCAACAAATGCGACTGGGACGAGAAGCGTGCAGTTTCTCTCGAGCAGGGCAAGCAGCTCGCAGATGAGTTTGGCCTGCGTTTCCTTGAAACCTCAGCAAAGGCAAACGAAGGCGTCGAAGAGGCGTTCTTCACTCTTGCTAGAGATATCAAGACCCGATTGATCGATTCGCAACCGGAAGCAGCTGCGGCGCCAAGCTTGGCCGCCGACAGACGTGGCGTGGATGTGAACAAGCAAGGATCTTCATCAAGCGGGGGATGCTGCTAGATGGGCAGACGAAGGATTCGGCAGGTTGTGGATATGGGTAGATACCCCCTTTCGGATAGCGTCCGCATCGCTAGGTACGATCTATGTAAAGTATGCTTCTAGGTGTTCTGAAGTGTGGCTCCAAAACGCTATAACACAAGTCAAAGATGAGAGCACATGTAGCATCTAACAGCCGTTCGCTGTCCTTGTGCTGGCTAGCCAGCACTTAGTAAGATAGTTCCTTACTTGCACTCTTGGGTGTTCTGGTGACTATGCCCCTTTGTCACTGACCTTATCCTCCCTTCTGTGTTGCATTTTGGTCGAGGTAGCATGATTTTAGAGTAAAAAGAGCAGCCGGCGTGAGTCGCGAGTCGCGCATATTTAATATTTAAACCTCCTTTCCTAAGATGGAAAGTATATTTTGGAGGAAACTCTGCGTTCTTGTTTCTCTTTTCTTTTTAATGTACTATGAGCGACTGGATGCACAATATAACCGTATGGATTAGCTGTGGGAATGTCCCGGAAAGGGACGTTCTCAGTCTGGGTCGGATTATACAAAAAGGCGATGTTATCCGGGACAACTTTAAAAAAAAACTCAGCCTAAGACGAGATTTGAACTCGCGACCTTTTCGTTGGACTGGGAAGGGGCAATACAAGCGAAACGCAATAACGACTATGCTACTCAGGCGCAATTGGGGATCGGTGGGGCAGATCTTGGAACAAGTATAAGAAGGTATTTTGGACTGTGAAGTGTTGACACAGCAAACTTCTTTGGGTGGTGTCACGACTGTTAAACCAGAGTGATAAGATGACATATGAGTACGGGACATGACAGGTGGCCTGTGAAGTGTCAACACAGCGAAACGCAATAACGACTATGCTACTCAGGCGCAATTGGGGATCGGTGGGGCAGATCTTGGAACAAGTATAAGAAGGTATTTTGGACTGTGAAGTGTTGACACAGCAAACTTCTTTGGGTGGTGTCACGACTGTTAAAGCTAGTCCCAGTAAATGGCGAAGACTAATGTGACCAAGGCAAAATAGCAAATGCATCATTCAAGTCGTTCGCCAAAGTCAAGTAAGACATTTCATTGGGATCTGGCTCATCAGCGACGAGGCCTAAATGGAGCGTTTTTGTTATTTCGGTCTGAATGTGCCAAGCTGGGTTGTCGAGAATATCATTTTCTGGCGGGCATTCCTTCGGCCGCCCGCATATACATCTTTATTGCCTGTTGATGTTCTTAATGATGGTCACATGACGATGATGAGGTTCGAATAAGAAAGCGACGGAGTCTTGGAAGGGTCTCAGAGTGGAGTATAGTAATCGACTTCGAGGCGTATACGAAGACTTGCATACCGTCTCTATGATCCGGCCTCCCTGGCTTCACATACGCTGGTGCGGTATGAGTGCCCTAATGGCCTTGAAACAACACACGTACCCTGTCAGCAGCCAGGCTGATAGGGAATTGACATGTTATCGACTGAACCATCCGGGTACTCCAATGATATATAGGTGAAATAGACTGTACAACCCAAGCCCCATGACGGTGCCCCTGTGACAACGGATGGCGTGTAACATCTTTCCGAAATAAGGTCAGTGTGTTTGTAAACGGGGCCGGACTAGACTAGCTGTTACAACCGGGCTGGACTCGCTGGTTGCGACCGGGCTGGACCAGCTAGTAATTAGCGAAGAGGCTTGGTCGGCTGGTAATACAATGTCTGGTGGCTATATCTAGGGCTGCTCAAGGCATCCCCAAAAAACTCATGGTCCCACGTCGAGGGGTGGTCCCGCCCTAGGTCACACCTCCCGACACCCCATCGCCTTGGCTTATAAGTACGTCTCGGCCGGACTCTATCTGTGATCGCTAATTAATTGTACTTCGTCAGTGCCTCACTGGGAGCACTGCTCGAGGCAGCGGGGATCCTGCTGACCGGAACGTACGCTCCCCTCCGCGTACGAACCATCGCTCTGGGGCATCGCGTTACCTGCCCCACGTTCTCGGCGACCAACCGATCGATTGAGAGCAGGCACGCTGTGAGGTGTCCCGAGCTGGTGTTAAAGGGCCTCGAACAGAGCGTCCAGCAGCTTCATCCTCCTCACGAAAACGGCAGCTGCATGTCCCCCTCGTCGATAGTTTAGATATCTCGGATACCTCAAAAGCAGCCGTCATACCTTCACTAATTGTGGGAGAGCTGGTACGCTCTTTCGCCGCCCTAAGGGAGATCCAGGACGGTATGAGCTCCAAGGGAAATCTCAGCCAATTCCAAGCGCAGCTGGCTGCCCGAATCGGTGCAGAAACCTTGGCGAAGATATTTATCGAGGGATTATCTTCGCCTCGCGTGATGAATGATCTGAGGACGCTCGGGCATGTGAGTCAGGAGGCGATTCAGGAGGCTCAGGTCATCACGCTGTCTCAGGAGTACTGTACGGCCGGCCTCTACTTGGACTTGGGGGCCACAGGGGAGGAGTGCACCAAGGATGGCCAATTGTACTTCGGTAGTGCATTTGGCCTGAAGCGGGTGACGGTAGACGGAGAGGTAATGACGGGATTGACAAGGAGGATCTTTGGCGACCAACCGATCTGCGTGGCTGGACGTCGCCGACCTTTTTAGGAGTGGCGTCCACGTCCACAAATCGCAGCACGGCCCTGAAGGGGGCCTGTTCGGCAGTGGGAGCAAGGAGGAGTATTCGGAGCTTGCAAGGAGAGCCGGCAAGAAGGGGATCCGGGTGCAGAGGGAGAGGTGGCGGGAAGAGATGGGTACGGAGGGGGAGCGATGGGAGGGTGAGGAGCTGCCGACCGCCATTGACTACCAGGCCCACAAGGCTGGAGTCACCAAGGCGGAGCTGCTGGCCGAGGTAAGCACCACTCCATATACTGTTGCTTTAGCTGAAACTCTCAGCGGATGCCGATAATGAACCGGAACTCGGTTTCATCATTGGCGAAGGCCACGTTCCGCAATTGGGTGGCGGGGACGCTCAAGGTGTGTTCAATCTTAGCAAGCCAGGTCTTGGCTGATATCCATAGGCCGAGCTGTGCAACGATTACGACGGCCAACTAGGCATTACGACCTCCAAGATAATCTTGGAGGCCATCGCCCTTTGATGGGTAAATCTCAATGACATGGTGAGTGATAGTGCTACACAACCACCAACTTGATCCAAGACTCTGCCTGAGGGGTCAATCTATGTCGTGGCTGATATCTCTAGGCCGAGCTCTGTAATGATTACGATGGGTAAATCTCAATGACAACCTCCAAGGCAATCTTGGAGGCCATTCGCCCATTGGTCGTTCTACAGCCTCAGCAGAGCTTCCCAAAGACGGTTTTGAGGCTGCCCATGCCATTTGGATCGGGGCTCCCCAAGGACGTCAAGTTTTTATGGCAAGTGATCGACTTGTCTGTTTCTTGGGACCCAACTCAGGTCACGATAGTGGCAAGGCATGAAGACGAGATCAAGATCTCAATCAATCGCGAGAGTATGGTCCGTTCCGACCAAAGACGGGCAGACTACACTGGCTCGGATCGTAGGGCCAGGAAAGTGACCGACTTAGACGACGCACAAAAATTTGACCCCACTTGTGCGGTCTTCAAGGTCTGGTCTGACGGAGCGGGACCTAGTGGGTCGTAGTATCTTGTTTTGTAATGTTGTTGTGTATATTGGTCTCTTCGATTTTGGGCAGGGACATTTTTTTGGGTTTACACTATAGATTTTTAAGCTCGATCGTACCGCATATGCATGTTTATAGATCTTGGGAATTCCAGTAGAACAAATATCCATGTAGATAAACACGATGCATCACCAGACTGATAAAAGAACTGTGTATCCACAAGAGAACCGTCCTTCCTAATTCGAAAGCCCCATCCTCCCAAATCGAAAGCCCCATCTCCCAAATCGAAAGCCCATCCTCCCAAATCGAGAGCCCATTCCTCCAAACCCGAACCCTAACCGGAACCATTCGAATCAGTCTGTACGAGATCCTCCAGCCTCTGCTCGAGGCCTTTGCCGAGGCCCTCCCTTGACCATTCGCCTTCTCCGAGACCGAGACCTGCGGGCCTGGGCTTGTGGTCTGCGGGACCGGCTGATGGGAGGACGGGCGAGCGGGTGTTGGGTGAGATTGTGCCTGGGAGATGTTCTGGCGAGAGGTTGCCCGAGGTGATGTCGCCGAGCGGGGTGACGGTGGTGGGCACGGAGAGGAGGAGGTCGTTGTATGATATGAACGAGATGCGGCGTTTGTCCTTTGTCGGGGTGAGATGCGAGGGGATGGCGGGGATCTGATATCAGCGGGGTCAGGGAGTGGCTTACCTCTTCGATGGGAGCGTCCTGCCAGCTCCATGCGCCGGGGAGGTGGGGGCCTGTGCTGAGGCGGTTTGGGGCGGCGGGACGGGTAGGACTGGCGGCCTGGGTTGCGTGTTGAGTTGCGGCCTGGGTTGCGAGCTGGGTTGTGAGCTGTCCGAGGATCGGCGGGGACTGTGCGGGACTAGAGACCCTGCTGCTGATGGGACTGGGGCTGCGCGAGTGCGATAGGGCCTTGCGGGAACCGATGGCGGAAGACTGCCTGGCCATACCGACAGCAGGCGCTTCGATCTCGAGATCGTCTTTACTATTAGCCAGGGCCTCGACGGCATCGTCCAGCACGGCAGGGACGGTGTGGTCCAGGGCCGATCCATGGGTCATGTGCAGCCGACTGGACTTGTGGTTGAGGCCCTGCTGCGGGGTGGTGTTGAGCGACAGCGACGCGACGGCGGGCAGCTCAATGTCGCGCTCGAATATCGCAGACGACGACGAGTGGATCGAGGCGGGAGACGACGGCCGCGAAAGGTGGTGGGGAAAGTGGATGGGGACGGGCGAGGCGGTGGGCATGGGCTGGTGCAGCGTGGGAGACGTCGCGTCGGACGAGGTGGGGTGGGGCAGCAGCGGACGAGTAGGTGATGCCGAGCGAGAGTGGGCTGGCGAGCGGGCCTTTTGAGGCGTGCGGGTACCGCGTCGAACTGATGGGGAAGGCTCCCGAGGGTCAGCCTCCGGTGGTGGCGGCGGCAGGTCGACGGGTGCTGTGTATGTTAGCATACGAGCGAGCAGGGTGTTGGATGTAGGAGTAGGAGTAGGTGTAGGCGTAGGTGCAGATGTAGGTGTAGGTGTAGGTGTAGGCGTAGGTGCAGATGTAGGTGTAGATACAGAATGTAGTGTAATTTGTAGAATGTAGCGTGTAGACTCACCTAGGTGTGCGCCTGGAGGGATCAGAGTCATGGTGCAAGACGACGAGGCGTCACGACCTCGTTAAGGCTGGCTATCGGGGAGTATGAATGATGTGCGATCTGGTGTGGAATGGGACTGTTGGCGATGTATACTTGTTGTAAACTCGAGTGGTGATGGAATTGTGACAAGGTTCGTCCGGTTACAGCGGTTGACTTAGGCTCCGGAAGATTTGATCCCGTCTCAACTGGGATCGACGCATACAGAAGGTAAAAAGGTGGCTAGGTTCGCAGCCACGCATTCATGGTTTGGAAAGTTATGGACATGTGGGATCGGGGAATGGGCTTGTGCATGCTCGGATACCTCGATAGTGCATGTGCTGCAATGCATGAAAGCATACAGTGTTTCAGTGTGATCATGATCAGCACTATAGGCGGGCTGAATAAAGTTTAGAGATTTCGATTCTCTACTCCAGAAAACTCATACTTGCCAACACC